AAAGAAAAGAAAAAGAGAAAGAAAAGAAAAGAAAAGGAAAAGAACGGTTTGAAACAGATACTTTTCATGAGATTGCAGTTATTGGTGTTAAATTATAAATGGCAATCCTGTTTCATTTATATAGGTGGAAATTCTGCTGCAAATTGCACATTGAAAGCTTGAATTCATGGACTTATGACTGCATAGTTACGTATAAAGAGAAGAACAATAATTATTTTGTTTGCCGAAACAATTGTCCAGTCCGAGTGACTTGAATACTGCATTAGTTGCACTAGATTACACTCATAAACTACTAAAACATGTGCAGGTGCAGCTGCTGCTGAGTTTTGTGCTGGGGCTCTACCTGGGTTTTTGCAAAATTTGAGTTCCTTGAGCAGGTTTTCTACTACTAATAATATTGTAGTCTACTTATAAATCTATATTCATGTAGGTAAATGACTGAATATCTTCGTGCTTATATACAAACAAGATTCTCACGTATTCATCTGTTACCTCTGCACAGTCCCTCTCATGCGCTTCTTGAAGCATTTGTTAAGACAGACTTAGCATTTAGGAATGAACTAGATTCTCTCCGTAAATCCAAGGGAGTTATTCAGAAAGACTGGCACCCTGGTTGTACTGCAATCACTGCTCTTATAGTGGAAAACAAACTATTTGTTGCTAATGCTGGGGATTGCAGAACAATTCTGTGCCGAGCTGGACATCCCTATGCATTAAGTAGGGTGAGATGCAAATTAACTATTTAGCCAGATCTTCTAAAAGAATGAGAACCCTATTATTGTATGTTGTCTCATTTGGCTCTAATTTATAAGCATTGTGCCTGCTTACCGACTGAATGACCTTGAGTAGGATCATGTTGCAAGTTGTCTTGAGGAGAGAGAACGGGTTATTGGTGCAGGTGGCCAAGTGAAATGGCAAGTTGACACGTGGAGGGTTGGTCATGCTGCTCTCCAGGTTATTCTCTTTTTCAATAAGCAATTCTTTTATCCCCTGTTATATGATAAACTTCTGAAAATGATGAGCATGTTTAGAATGCTTATATATTTTACTTACAACGAGAGAGGAAAAGGAAGTCTCCTTGTGAGAAATAAGTAAGCAACCAAACATGCTCGATGTCTTCAACTGATTGATCTTTAGAATTCCTAATTTACTGCTTTAGACTGATTCTTTATCAGGCATTTTCTTTTTATTACATGTGATTGCTTAATAAACATTTCACTTTTACATTGAGTATTAACTAATCTACATCTTCTTTCAATCGATTTTGATAATATGATCACATTGTCAATTGTATCCATTTTCTAAATACAACCTGCTTCACCTTCTCTGTTTTATGTTTCCAACAGCTCACAGAGATCTGATTGTGCAACGCAAAACAATTCAACTAACCTTGGAAGCTAGTAATAAAGAAACAGCCGGGCTTATAAAGATGTATACATATTATGAGATAGACTTGTAGAAACTTGGTTTTTTCCCTTTTTCCCCCAAATTTTTTCCCATTATGATTTTCATTGGCTAACGAAATATTCAAACTCGGACTTTGATGACCTCTTGCTCATGATAATGTGACAGTATTGGTAGTTAACGGAAAATTTTAAAGATTGTTACAACACATTGAATTGCTCCAGGTTACTATGGGGTTGTGACTGATTTAAAAGGTTCCAGAATTTCAGAATATTGCTTATGGAAACCTTCAATATATTAATTTCTTTTATTGGTCATTGTATTAGTTGCCTCAAAGTTTTTCATAGTGTTTGGTTAGTAGGACTATTCTCGACCCATGAACAAGATTTTAGTTTCTTTTTCTTATTTAATGTTGTATAATCATATTTAGTTCTGTGTACCAACAAGCACTGGATATCTGCCTAACAAAGCATGTGAGTTAAACATGCACATTTGGATTATATACTTGGACATTAGTATGAACAAATTTTCCTATCCACCCAAGCCTAGCAAGTGCATGCAACTCTTTGCTTGGAAATTGTGAGTGGCATCTCCAAAAATTTTATAAAGTAATGCTTCAATACTATTTCAATTTTTTTTCTTTTAATAGGTTACGCGCTCTATTGGTGATGATGATTTGAAGCCTGCTGTAACTGCGGAACCTGAGATAACTGAGACCATACTA